GTGTGTGTGTGTGTGTGTGTGTGTGTGTGTGTGTGTGTGTGTGTGTGTGGTGTGTGTGTGTGGTGTGTGTGTGGTGTGTGTGTGTGTGTGTGTGTGTGTCAGAAAAACCACAGTGGAGATTGAGTAGGCTTGGCCCTTTGCAGAGGGACAAGAATTCATAGGTAACTTCACGTTACTCCATACCTTTCTGGTGGCAGTATTCCTATTAACTCCCAACTTGAGTCAGGGTTTCTTGGAATGGAGAGAGTTCAAAGATCAAAGCTCTTTAGTGTTGTGTTTCTTGTTCCATGAGAAATGGAGGTTATTTTTTAATGATTTCATGGAAGTATAGCTTCTCTTCTCATGATTCATTTTCCAGACTGTTCTGTCAAAACTTGGGGTCATCTTAGGCTAGGAGTATGTGGTGTGTGTGTGTGCGCGTGTGTGTGGGGGGGTGTCTAATAAGGTGCTGACTATGTTCCTAGGGACCATGGACTATGAAGTAGCCCCTGACTGGATGAGCTATGTAGCATGTTGCTTATATCAAACACAATGATGGTTAAAATAAAACTCTTAAGCTGGGAAAAATAAACAAATATTAAAGTAAAGCTATTTGTTTAGTGCTTTTTATGCATCGGGTATTTGGCTGAGCCCTTTTACTTCAATGATCTTGTCTCCCAACCACCTGGTAAGTAACTATCATTAATTCTTCCCTGGCTCACCAAGCACATGCATGAGTGGGAAGTATGGTGGCCGGGATTTGAACCTAGATTAGCAGGCACCACAGTGGTGAGCGAGTGCTCAGTTTACCAGCTGCTGTGGTTCCCCTAGCCCTGGACAGAAACATGTTCCTTGGTCCTCTTTGTCTGTCACATTGCCTTGTCCCTGGCCCCTTCTCAGAACCAACTAGAAAAGGGTGAGAAGTGTGTGTGTGTGTGTGTGTGTGTGTGTGTGTGTGTAAGGGGGATGTTTGATGTTTGGTTCTGACTGACCTGTATAAAACAAACAGCACTGAGTTGGGCTAGGCCAGTCTTCTGCGACCAGAAAGCTTTGAAAGTCTTAATTTTTCCCAGCTGAGTGTGTAGATTCCAACACAAGACACAATGCTGATGAATCCCTGACCCTCATGCCCCAAGATAAGTAACCAAGAACATGTCCTCCGTGTTCACGTTTCCTGAGAGCTCTTTAGCTTCTGAGGTCCTCCTGGGTGTCTCTCAGGTACAACGCTCCAGCATCTTAGCCAGAGCAGGAAGCGGGGTTAACATAGTGTTCTCATCATCAGTGAGTAGTCACCCAGCTCTGAAGGCCACGGAACTGTTCGCTTTAAGGTGCCTAGTTCTGTGATGTGTGAATTTCACCTCAGCACAGTTTGAATAGCCAAAATTAAACAGCAAAATATCTCTGGAATTATTTAGAATATCATAATAGCTTACTTTGTTTAATTCGCTTTTCTTGTTATTTGGCATTGGTTTTGTTTTTTGACTGTTTATTTTGGGCAAAGTTCTGAAGGTAGCCTTGACTAACCTGGAAAGTTACTGTGTAGCTTAGGTTGGCAAGCCTTACCATGCCCAGGGCTTTGTTGAATCTCTCATTCTGGTGATTTAGATCCTGCCCTCTATTTTGTGGACTCTCCAATACTACTCTAAGAACACTCATCAAACACCTAATGTTGTGTGTGGGTTGGGGTGTGTGTGTTGGTCTGATTGTGGATTTATAGTGACTGTGGACCCATTGCACAGAACAAACTCAGTGGGATTTAAAGCTAGCCTTTTAATTCTATGTCATAGGCTCTTTAGGGTGAAGTCCAGTAAAATACAGTAAGTGATTCTACCCAAGAAAAGAGAGAAAGAGAAAGAAAGGAAGAGGGAGGGAGGGAGGGAGGGAAGGAGGAAGGGAGGGAGGGAGGGAGGGAGGGAGGGAGGGAGGGAAGAAGAAAGAAAGAGGAAGGAAAGGGGAAAGGGAGTTTTTACTTAATGGTTTTAGAATAAGATTATACATGGCTTTTAGGGAGTTACTGTCTCTCTATCCCGGTAAGGAGCGGTGTTTTAGGATGACAAGCTTAGAAAGTCTGTTCCCAGATTTGTTGGTGACAGCTAATTGGTGAATAATGGTCTGTGGACCTGAAAGTTCTAAGGTGAGCGTAAAACCTTTAGATCAGTCTAGAACCTTTTCTCTGTCACCTTTTTTTGATTGAGCCTTTTTTTTTTTTCAACAGATATTTTAAATTTAAGGGTGTTTCCCTCTTCTAAACTGTGTATTAGAAGTGTTGTAAAAGTCAATGCTTCAGGCTCAGATCCCAGTAACCTTTGGCAACATGGAGTCTTGAAGAACTTCTGCCTTTTAATGTCAATTTGACCACAGGCTCCTGATCAAAATTAGAGCTCTTCCAAGGTTTCCAAAAAGCCCTTCTGTGGGATGGCAACTTATTTTTATCCCCTTGTTTATTAATTAACGAGTACCTCAGTCCAAGCTGGAGTTAGACTGTACCCAAAGCTCAATAAACTTACCTGAAAATTGACAAAGAGATATTTTGGCAAACACATATGCTTAACTTCCTTAAGTCCGTGTTAGTACAAAGCCGGGACTAAATCATCCTTTTAAAATGTACATAGTCTCTCTTTACCCCTTGAGCATTCTCCTGCAATTTTAAACTGTAGCTCTGATACACTTAAGCTAATGTATAAATAAACTTTGGAGTCAACACCTGAGCACAGTCCTCTTTATACCCCCAGGCACTTCCGTGAGTGTTTCCACCTTCAACCTGGTCGCCATCTCTCTGGAGAGATACGGCGCCATCTGCAAACCCCTACAGTCCCGTGTCTGGCAAACAAAGTCCCATGCTTTGAAGGTCATCGCTGCCACCTGGTGCCTCTCCTTTACCATCATGACTCCGTACCCCATTTACAGCAACTTGGTGCCTTTTACTAAAAATAATAACCAGACGGCGAACATGTGCCGCTTCCTGTTGCCAAGTGACGCCATGCAGCAGTTCTGGTAAGGCAGTGCTTCGTTCATCCTTTCAGACATGGCTAAGTCTAAGTTAGCAATGTGAGGACCAGAAAGCCTTACCAGATGACTACCAGACAGATATCCTAAAGGTTTTCTAAGGAAGATCTTTTTTTTTGTTGTTTCATGTATTTATATAATGACGTTTAGTTGTCTTCCCCACCCTTCACATTCCCCTCCCCCTCCATCTCTGGCTGAACCCTCTTTTCCCCAACAAGTCCCCATTCTATTTCCATGCCTCCTTTGTCTATGAGACCCACAGAGTTAAAATAGACCTTCTTGAGGCACTGAATAAGAAGTTATTTATTGGAATATGGATATCTTATGACTAGATATATACCACTGAAGAAAATAACGCATCTCCCAACAGTCAGCTGCGGGCCTCATGGTCCACTTTGGGGAGGGTTGTTCTAGCCTCACCCTAGAATGATGGAAAGAATACACAGTGAGAAACTGAAACCCTAACCGCCATCCTGTTATTGGCAAAGCAGTTAGCATGTCCATTCTGCAGATAAAGAAATATGACTTAGAGGTGCCAGAGTGGCCAAACCCATAAAGCTAGGAAGGGACAAGCAAAGTCTCTCTCCGGGCTTACTCACTATGCTTTTGCATATGCATGGTCTCCAAGGAGTTCAGACTGGTTGACTTATTGAAGCTACGGTTTTCAAACAAATTGATGAGAGAATTTAATGAAAAGATGGCACAAATGTGGGCTACATTTAATAATTATAGGGCTGTTTTAGAAGCAGGAACTGGACACTCAGAAGTGGCTAAAAACCCAGATCATGTTTCGTTGCTTTCTTCCTTTTCATTCAACCAAGTAGCTTGAACACAAAATGCATTACACTGTGAAAGAGATGGATAGACAAGGCTTATCAAAACATGTCCACTTGCAATGAGAAATGGCCTGGCCACTGTTTGCCTCTAACGATTGTATGGTCTAATCTGTAACTTACACATGCCAGACTACAAGAGTGATTTAGGGGGCCAGACTCATGGAGCAGGAGGCTGTGAATCCTCAACAGTCAACTGTGTTTAGAGAAAGCATAGCTCAATCCTGCCAGGCACAAGACTTCACAGGGTGACAGAGAATAGATACTCTGAGAGATTTATGAGTAGCAAATGGCATGTTTGGTAAAACTGAAAGGTTTTCCATGATGCTGATGGAAACATTTAATGGCTCCCATTGGAGGGTCAACAAGTTGAGTAGCCTGACACATGTCATTGGGCTTCGAATCTCACCTCTGCTACTAGATGTGTGATTTTTGGACACATTTAATTTCTTCAAGACTCAATATCCTCATCTCTACATTAAATGTTTGGATAATAGCAGCTATAAGAACCTGTTATCAAAGGTTCTTATGTGAACATATAAGAACCTTCATATGTATACAAATATACATAAAAGAACTTTTACATGTATACAAAGAGCTTGGTCTAACCTGTAGTACACAGCACTAATCCTCAAAAGATGGAAACTATTTTCATATTGTTTCAACAACTTGGCCATATAATCCACATACTCCTATTATTTTTTTTAAAGATTTCATTACCTGCTTATTGTTCTTGCCATTCATTTTTGAGACAGGGTGTCACTATGTCACCCAGGCCTGTCTCAAACTTTTAGACTTGAACAATCCTCCTGTCTCAGTCTCCTGAATATCAGGAGCTTTAAATACACACCATATTCCCAGCTTTTCTGCTATTCTTTAACATGTTAGTTGCTTTGGGGTATAGAAGGATGCCATGTTTCTCCAATTTAAGCAGTCTTTCAGAGACACTTTAAAGAGTAAAAGAAGCAAACAAGTTCTAACGACCAAACCTCCAGACATGGAGTTTTCAAGGATGCTAACTGCTAGAAATGAACATGTCTGCTCAGACCAGCTCACCCTCGTCACTCCCGCCCATCAGAACTTGAAGGTCCGGAGTCACTGGTAATTAGATTTCTTTTCATTGTATTAGGCAAACATTCCTGCTCCTCATCCTCTTTCTTATCCCTGGGATTGTGATGGTGGTGGCGTATGGACTGATCTCTCTGGAGCTCTACCAAGGAATCAAATTTGATGCCAGCCAGAAGAAATCTGCTAAAGGTACTGATCTTTGAGCTGGATGTTTATTCCAAAAGAACTCAAAAGCTTGCTTTGTAAGTTAGCTAGATGTACTCGGGATATACGGAGCATATGCTGGAGTGTTTCTGAGACACAGGGTCCCAAGGCCCTCCGAAGCCACATGTATAAAAGGAGATATTTCTTCTTAGTGGAGTCCTGAGTGGAATCAAAAGAGATCATTCACACAGGACACAGTGGCACACAGAGGACCCTGTCCCCAAGGCTTGCTGTCACATAGCATTAGTAGACAGCCCCTGGTGATTCTGTTCTGCACCCTACATTAAAAGACATCGGATCCCTGACCTACAAGATCCACTTCTGGACATTCGTTTCCCACCCTCTGCCTCTCACACTCACCTCCCTCCTCCCTCAGCCTACTGAACCTGTCCCCAACACCTGTGTTGACATAACTTTTTCCTTCTCACTCTGTTCCCCTCTCTCAGTTCCTCACTATGTAGATAAGGCAGTCTCTCTGGCTTCTATTGATTTTCTCTCGTTACTTGAAGTCCTCACGATAAAAGTAATCTAAAGACCCAGCAAGCAAACACGAAAGAAAGAACCGAGAGGAGTGTAAATATTTTGGAATAACTTTCAGCTTCACAGCCTTTGTGTGTAGGATTGTATCATCATCATCACCATCATCTATACACGGTTTATATTTCACAGAAATAGTGCAGACCAACACTAATACAAATCAGTACAGGCCAGGCTGCCTGTCCATTCTCCAGTTCAAGTTCAGCTTTGGCCTCCTGGATTAGGGGAGTCAGGGGCTGTATGTCTTCTCTCTGGCATGACTTGTCCTGAACACTAAAATGATGTCACTTTCCCATCCAGAGAAGAGGCTGAGCAGTGGCAGCAGTGGCCGATACGAGGATAGTGATGGCTGTTACTTGCAGAAGTCCAGGCCCCCGAGGAAGCTGGAGCTTCAGCAGCTGTCCACCAGTAGTGGTGGCAGAGTCAACCGGATCAGGAGCAGCAGTTCTGCTGCCAACCTGATAGCCAAGAAGCGCGTCATCCGCATGCTCATCGTCATTGTGGTCCTCTTCTTCCTGTGCTGGATGCCCATCTTCAGTGCCAATGCCTGGCGGGCATATGACACGGTTTCTGCTGAGAAACACCTCTCAGGGACCCCCATCTCCTTCATCCTCCTCCTCTCCTACACCTCCTCCTGTGTTAACCCCATCATCTATTGCTTCATGAACAAACGCTTTCGCCTGGGTTTCATGGCCACCTTCCCTTGCTGCCCAAATCCTGGTCCCCCAGGGGTGAGAGGAGAGGTGGGCGAGGAGGAGGATGGGAGGACCATAAGGGCATCACTGTCCAGATATTCCTACAGCCACATGAGCACCTCTGCCCCACCCCCCTGAGCTGTACCTGGTCCACTGCTGCAGCAGGAAGGAGGGGACTGGGACCAAGGAAGAAGAGGAAGTGGGGGGAAAGGAGAAGAAAGACTCATTTCTCATGAAGATTCTTCAATGTCTGCTTTTCACCCTTCACAAAGTTCCAACAGGAACTTAAGGCGGGGTCATGAAAATGCCAAGGCATTTTCCATAATGTTTACCATGGGAGAAACCTCAGCAGGCCAGTGATAGGAGCCCTACTGGGCTCATGCTACAAATGTCACTGCCAAGTCCATGTACAAAATGGAGGTGTAGACTTTGATGAGCTTTAGAATTTTCTGGAACGCCCCAGGTGATGTCTCTCCATAGTGATACACTGCTATGCTCTGTTTCTTCTGCTCCTGCAGAATTATTGTCCTCCCCAGGGAACCCATACCTATTTCTCTCACATACTACAACTACACACCTTCTCATGGCCTCTTCTGGATATGGGAATAGTATGACAATTTTTAAAGTTTGAGGTTGGTCAAGTACACTCAGGGGTGTAAGTTGAGATCATCATCAGAAAAGCAAGAAGAATGTATCTAAAAGACAAGTTTTAGGATTTTTATTTCTACAAAGGAAAGAGTGTGCAAGGCCAGTAGCTAGAAGGACTTTCTGTCAGCAATGTCAAGCTGCAGAAGGGAGGGTGATTAATACGGTGTTCTCTCTCCTCTCTCTGTAACCCCACAACTTTTTTAAAACTTAAACTTAATTTCTTATGTTTGCCTGTATTTCCTCCTTTCCAGAAACACCTCCAGGTAAGGAGGAAGATGTATATACCTGGGCGAGGGTGGTAACATGTATAGTCGGTCCCCAAAGAAAACTGGCACGCTGGGACTCAGTTAATAAGTAGCTTTGAATGCCAAAACTATGTATGCTTTTAAATACCATTGATGTAGCTCTTGATAATTGGCTCAGTGTGTGTGTGTGTGTGTGTGTTTGTATGTGTGTGTGAGTGTATGTGTGTCTGTTTGTGTGTGTGTGTGTGTGTATGAGTCTGTGTGTGTCTGTTTGTAAGTGTATATATGTGTGTATGTGTGTGTCTGTTTATATGTGTGTGTGTGAGTGTATGTGTGTCTGTTTGTATGTGTGTGTGTGAGTCTGTGTGTGTCTGTTTGTATGTGTGTGTGTGTGAGTCTGTGTGTGTCTGTTTGTAAGTGTATATATGTGTGTATATGTATGTGTGTCTGTTTGTATGTGTGAGTGTATGTGTGCCTGTTTGTATGTGTGTGTGTGAGTTGGTGTGTGTCTGTTTGTATGTGTGTATATGTGTGTGTGTGTGTAAACTGAACATACTGCTACATTATCTGTTAATAACTTGTAAGTGGATATTGGAATCCAACAAGTGTTATTATTCTTCCATAAAAGTTGGAGCATTGTGTGAGCTTCATTTCTTTGCAAAATTAGTGTTGAAAACACTTAACTCTAAGAACTCTGTTTAAAAATAGAAATAAATTACAACAATGAAAGACCATTTCTAGATAGCGTGTACTGATCCAGTGTACCAAACACACACATTGTCTCCCTTCCTCCCTCCCTCCTTCTCTTTTTTTTCCCCTTGAACATTATTGTCTTGTCTACTTAAAAGAGTTAGTATGACCCTTTTCAACAGAAACAAGTTCGTATGCCCATGTGGAAAAGTAAAAACTATGCAAAGAAAAAGATTCAAGGCAAGTAAGTTCATTGCTATGAGCTGTCAATCATCCAAGGAGTGGGCATTTGTCTTCTCCTTTCCATGGGGCCGTGACCGTGCACTGACCCAGGCCCCACCCTCTCAATAGTCCCCAAACCTTTCTGTGGAAGAGGAAAACAGGGAGTAGCAAGGGATGATAAGGCTTCTGGTGTTCTAGACGTGAGAAGACGGGCATCTTACAGTGATGGTTGTGCCTGAGGGAGCAGCTGCTGAGCACATCACTCCCAACTTGTCACACCAGACTAGCCCTTCCTCAGACGTCAGTCTTAGAGGAGCGGCTATCACTGGCCTCACAATCAGCCGTTTCTGAGCCAAAATCCAGAGTTCAAACTTCAAGGACAGAAGATGAAGGAGATAAAAAGGCCTGATACTTGAGTGGAGCTTACATATCTTTCCTTCCTAAAATAAAGACTGGATCATTCCCTCTGACCCTCTCAGAGTATTAGGAAATAAATGAAGAAAAATTAAGAGCCCCTCCATTATTAGAAACCACTGGAATTTGTGGAGGTTTATTAACCTAAAGACAATGTCCTAGGATTTAGTCAATAAAAATACAGATATGCAACTAAAGTGTAATTCCAGATAAGCCATAGAGCAGTGGTTCTCAACTTTCCTAATGCTGAGACTTTTTCATACGTTTCCTCATGTTGTGGTGAGCCTAACCATGAATTCTTTTTGTTGCTACTTTATAATGTAGTGTAAATATGTGTTTCCTGATGGTTTTAGGTGACCCCTGTGAAAGGGTTGGTCATGCCCAAAGTGCCCAAGACCCACAGGTTGAAAAACACTGCTATAGGTAATAATTTTTAGTATGAGTACATCCTAAAAGATAACCTGTATCTTATCTGCCAACTCTACCTTGAAATATTTTAAACTAGATAAAAACATAAACATGATTTTCCACAGCCACAGTAATAAAATGCCTTTCCTGATTTCATTTATTGGAAAGTCACCTATTGGAAGCTGAGAGACAGGTATGGAGGGCTATTAATTTTCAGAATCTGTGACGAGCTTTGGAAAGGTCTGATTTTACTGATTAACTTTTTCTTTTAACACATAATATTGTTCTTATGCTTTCTTAAGTCAACTTCCCTTGCCTCGTGTTAAACAAGATTACTGATTTGAACGTGAATTTAAGTTAAGGGAAGAAATAGCCAGATTTTCCAGTGCTTTCTGCTGTCTTCCAGTAGTGCCCCTTCAGCACAATACATACGAGCATTGGAATTGAGAGTTGTGTCTTGGCTTCTTCTGCCCCAATCAGCATGGTAAGGGCTCCTAATGCATTCAAGGTGGTGAATGAGCAGTCCCTGCATCTCTAGGGTTTGATTGCACGTGCCCCTGTAAGCTTAACAGGTGCTTCTCTGCTTGAGCAAACTGTCATCTGAGTTAAGTAAGGACAGCTGCCAGGTCTCTGCTGTCCGGTCCTCCTGTGTTTTGCCTAGCAACCCACTTACGGTGAATGTTTAGTAAACACTGACTGACTTCCATCACATCTCTTCTGCTTTCAGTGGTCTCTCTCTCCATCCACAGACCCACTCCTCAACAAGGGACAACTCACTCTTGGGGAAGAAGAGCAGAGCATTGAGAAGACCATTTCCTCTCTGCATGCATCCACCCTAGATTCTCATGTGTGACATTTTGCATGACCTTTTGCTCTGTTCTCCCTCCTCTTTCCGTCAGCCTCATAAGGCAAGTGGATAAAGGGAATGGATATAACCCCAAATGTTTCTGATGAGGAACTAGATATTCTGCCTAGAAACAGTGTTGAGTTACAGGTAGACAAAGGCTGGGAGCCACCTGCCCCTAACATCCCTCAGCTTAGCTCCCCTGGCTCTCATCTCTTTTGAGAACACTCAAAACCCTTGCACACATTTCCAACTCTTGCTAAAAAGCCCAGCTCACTCCTGCCATCAGAGCTCCCATGAACCCCTTGCTATGCCCCCATCCACTTGCTCTCCAGCAGAACCCCAGTGGGAGCCTCGTGGAGCCACTCCCAACCCACGCTGCTCCCTGGCTCTTGCCTCTAAATGTGCTACTTCCCTCTTTTTCGGCTTGGTTGTCTTTGACCTCTCTCTCTGGTGTCCTGGTGCCTCTCAGATGAACACAGCTTCCTAGTTCCCACTGTGAGAGTGTTTTGCTCTCATAGACCAGGACCAGCCCCACACTCCACACCCCTCCCAACCTACCCACCCCAACCCTTTAAAGCATAGTCTGGGTAGAACACATGTCCTTCTTGCACAGGAGGAGAGGCCAGATGGGGGCATACATGCCATGCCCTTCCTTCTGGCACATGATAATCATTACCTTACTGAAAAGAGCAAGTGTGACTACCTACAAGATATATTTGCAGTCTCAGAGATCACTAATAGAAGATGAGGAACAGTTAACACCATTATATGCTGTCGTTCACAGCACAGTACAGATCCATCAACTCTTCCAAGGAATGAATGAGATGGATGGATGGATGGATGGATGGATGGATGGATGGATGGATGGATGGGTTTGAATGGAGTCTTGAATCAATGCGAGTCCTTCCCTGGCCCCTTTGGGAAGCTCCACCTCCACAATCAGGTGGCTGTGGATATGCACTTTCATTTGATCCAAGAAGCTGCCTGGGATGTCAAGGTCTGTTTTCAGTTGTACATAATGTCCAGGAAATCAGCTTCCAAGCTCTCTGTCCATTAAAAGCTTCTGGGGTAATGAAGATAAGGCCTAGAGATTTGTAGCCAAGCTCTAGCTATTCCTAGCTCGCCATGTGACCCTGAGCGTGTCATACCCATTCTCAGGAGGTCAATTCCTCTTGAGGAGTGATGGCTCCACCTGTGGTAATATATGACTCAGTAGATAAGGGTCTGTCTTTATCACATCCAATGGCCTCCCTTAATTTCAATGATTTCCCAGTGCCTTTGCATCGGGGAAACTTCCTGGTACCTAAGCATACAATTATCTCTGAAGAAACCTGTTGGGAAAAGGAATAAAACAAGAGAGAGCCCCAAGCTCTCAGCCACTTGTAAGTCTCGTTTCCTAGAGCAGATTGTAGGCCACCCCTAGAATGCCCATTCCAGTGGATACTCAGACAGAACAGTCTACTTTCAATTCAATCTGGTCTGGGGCACACTGAGCTACTTCAGTTATTGAGTCTTGTCCCACATAGGAGAGGTGCAAGTTCACTGACGGCATAGAGGACTTAAACACTGCAAGGGGACAAATGATCACTTGCTACCTGTAACTTCTTAATTAAATCCCCAAACGACATGTGTGATGCATCATCCCCCACATTTCAAAGTGACGACATTTGTAGTGGGTTTGTCCTAATGCTACTTGTATCTAATTTGGGTCCCCAAAATGGTTTGCCCTAAAATTGTCTACGTGTCCGCACTGAGGGATCCTGCCCCCAGTCGGTTCTGATTGGTAAATAAAGATGCTGGCAGCCAATGGCTGGGCAGGACAGATAGAGGAGCAACCTTTAGGATTTTCTGGGCTTGGGACTAAGAGAGAGGAAGGAAAAGGAGCTCTGCCATGCTGGTGGAGTGTGGAAGGGGAGGAGAGGTACAATGTCTGAGAAGAGTGCAGATCAGAGAGGCATGGCTGCCATGGAGCCTGGAGACTGTGGCCCAGAGCGCAGCCCAGTTGGGCAGCCTTCTGGGTCCAAAGGAGCCAAGATAGAATATAGAGTTTAGTAAGGAATAACTCGGGATTATTAGCAGGAGGTGGATTACCCACGTGGAGGTGAGGAAGTGGTCCAGCTATTGAGCATATCAAAATATAAAAGCTGTGGGCATGTTTCATTTGGGAACATAAACCTTTGGGGAGGGTAGCATAAACTGCACTGCTGAGATTTATCATTAAGTAATTCAACAGAAATTGAAGGGCAAGTAACATGCCCTAGATCAGACAGCTAACAAATGGCAAAGTCCATTCTTATTTTAGTTCCATCATGGGCTAGCAAGATGTTTAACATGTAAAGACACTTGCTGCTTGCTAAGCCTGATGACCTGAGCTCTGCCCCCAGGACACACATTGTAGAAGAGGAAAACTGATTCCCACAAGTTGTCCTCTGACCTCCACAGGTGTACACACAATACAAACAAACAAAAATGTGTTCATTCCACCAGGCTGTTATTGGGATTGGGTGACATTCACCTTTCTAAATATTCAATAGCCGATAATTTCATTTCAGAAATGTGGCCAGATTTGTAGTCCTTATGCTAAAACCTCCACAAAGAAAACAAGAGCCTGTCTGTGTCCTCCTCTGTGGACATAGGCCTCACTCTGAGCCTCCTGCTTGAGAGGAGGATTTGAAAGCTGGTTCTTCACACTTCTGTCCTGGATACATCCAGCCCTGTGTTTGTTTTTAGAACTAACTAAAATACACTCTATGGCCACACAAGAAAGCCAAGAGAAGATATCAGAAAATGAATTTTCGCCTCTTTGGCAAATACCAGCATTATATTAAAACAGGTTTGTTTTTTCGGTTTCACTAGAATGAAAATAAGTATGGGCCAAACTCTCCAGCAGCCATCAGAGTAAAGCCTCCTGGTCTCTCTTCCATGTGTTGCCTTTTTGCCAAGTCCCCCTTTCCCAGTGACATGAAGAATGGCTGTGAAAGAGAGTCAGGAGGATGCCTGGGTCCAGCACAACCTCAGACTGATGGGGCTTACAGTGGAGATCCTTACCATGTCCCAAGGCCCTTCTTATCCTGATATTTCCCTAATTGCCAATGATGTTCCCACCTTTGCCTACCTCCCCCCATCTCCCAGATTCTCAAGCTCATTTCTGAAAATCAATAATCAGGAAAAACTCAAACTTTGGAGTTAGAGTTGAATTCACATCTGGCCCTAACTAGTTGTGGGACCCCAGGATGGGCAGAACTTTCAGATTTTGTAATGACATGAATGAGCCGTATCTCCAACTCCCAGGAAGCCATACATTTTGAGCATTTGTTACCAAGTCTCTAGAATGATAAACTGTCCCTTGCAAGGCAGCATAAGGTAACGTGAGCCCCAACTGGTTCCCGTCAAGGAAGTGTGTGGAGCAGGGCCCAGGGACTTCTGGGTTTATTGGTCAGTGCCTGCTGCATTGTGCTTCGGTAACAAACACCTCCAGGTCTAGCACTGTACCATGTCAGAGAGTTCCAAACTTGTTTGAAGAACAAATTCTTCATATACATATACAAAGTATTTGGACTAGTTTCAAGTAGTCTTCACACTTTTACACAAGGGAGCTCTCTTTCCTCAAAGCAGTTCTGAATGGAGTTCCAAAGTGGGAAAGAGATAGCAGTATACCTGCCTAGGAGGAAGAATAGGGATTTATTCTTCCTTTGAAATCCTCAGGAGAAATCCCTGGGTTCTACAGGACACACTTTGAAAGCCATTAATGCATACTGGCATCTGTAATCTGTGACTCTAGGGCCTGCAATACCAGCCTTTGCCAGCAGGAGCCAATGGCTTCAATTAAGGTTTGCCACACCAGTTCATGACCTTAATTCCAGACACACTCCACCCTTGATCCTGCTGAAGGAGAAAACCACATTCCATTAGAGTTTAATGATTAGGCTCTCAATGCATTGTGCCAGCCCTCTTGGCGTTGTAACAAGACTTCTTCTGCATGGTTTCTTAAAAGAGATGCATTGGTCCAGTGTTAGCTGGCTAAGAGCTTCGTCTTGTTCAATGCAGCTACCAGAATGATACCTTGACATCAGGAAGGTACATCCAGCCATAATGGTTGGAGTCATTAGTCTTCCTGAGTAAAGCTACTAAATTAAAACAAACAAACAAAAAAATCAAGGTCCTAACCTGAGCTCTACCCTGAACTGAAGGGCTGTGATGTCCTCATTGTCAAACTTCCTCTGGGTGGGTTAAATGCCTCTGACCTGAGCTTTCTCCCAACTTCCTGCCATTATGATTCCTTGGCCAGGGTGGAAGTTTACAGAAGGCTTCTATGAACTCCTTCCCTTGGGCCACAATCCTCTGCTCTGAAAGACACTGGGATATTTTGTCCAGCCAGCTTCCTGACATTGGCTGAAATATTCCTGTATTGTTTGAATGTTCGAGTCATAACTACCGACACCTTATTATTTGGCTATATTTGGAAATAGAGCTATGTAAGACACTGGGGTATGATGAGGACATTTTGTTGACCCTAACACAATGTCACCAACATTTTTATAAGACTAGGACACTTTAAGAGTATCATGTGGACAGGAAGCAAGAAAGTGGTCATCGACCACCCAGAGAACCCTCTTGCAAGAGAACCCTTATAAGAGACAAGATGCCAACACACTAACCTTGAACTTACAGCCTCTTATGATAATCCATCGAGAATCCCTTGACAGGCCTGCAGATTGGGCAAATAAAGACACGCTGCACAGGACATGCCATAACAAAGCTATCACTCCCTGCTATCAGTCTCAGATTAGTGACACTTTGAGTTTCATCTGGTAACTCTACCCCTGTAGCAGGGATAGACAAACTTCTGCTACTTGAGCCCCTTGGTCTGTGACACTTGGTTATGGTGGCTCTAGCAAGCCATGATTCCTCCCCACCTTGAAGGATAGAGTGCTTACAGCCAGCCCCAGTGGTCAGAAAAGACGACTGATGATAACTCTTGCAACAGGAAACCTGCTACAGGGGTAGAGTTACCAGATGAAACTCAAAGTGTCACTAATCTGAGACTGCAATGGGGGGAGGGGGTGATAGCTTTGTTACAGCATGTCCTGTGCAACATGTCAAGGGATTCTTGGTGGCTTATCATAAGCAGTGGAGAAAGTGAACTGAGATAAAGCAACTGTGACCAGGTGTTGTCCTGATGTCTGCAGGCACAGAGTGGACAATAAACACTGCCACCCACCACCCACCATACCAACTGGGAAGGAAGGAAAGGACTGTCCCGGGGGCCACAAGTCTCAGTCACCATCCAGGTCTATTGTCCTAATTTGGAATTCAGTGAAAGAATCTCTACCTTTGAACTTATTATTTGTTAGGGGTTTGTTTGACTTCCGTTTTCCCAAAACAAGGATGGCAAGATCACAGACCTCACCAATGTCCCTACTTGTGGGCCACTGGAAGGATGACTGAATCATAGGCTGTCACTGACCAAGAGTTATCAAGGGCAAAGAAGAAAATGAACCTTTCTGTTCTGAGAACATCATGGAACAGGAGAACTGTTACATGCCTGGGAATAACACGGGTGTCCAATGTCACGTGACCATCATAGCATGTGCCTCAGATCCTCTCTCTGAAGCTAGACTTAGGGGTCCACTGGCAAACCAACAAGAACCGCCTGCCTTCTTGGCTGGGTGAATCCATCCGGTGTGTTTCCTGCTACACCCAAGGCTGATGGTTCCCTGTTTGCACCAGCTGTAATTAGGAACAAACTGACACCAAAGTAGAGAAAAGCTTCTTCTAGTCTCTATCCTTGCCTGTTATTTGTTCCCACTCTAGGGCTTTCTCTCTTTGTGCAGCCTGCCAAGTGACCCATGTGACCTCTGCTACTGTCAAAAGGCAAGATGAATTCAGAAGGCAAGAGGTTCTGCGCACATGCACAGGGGACTCACCAAATAAAATGGGTTTTGGCTTCTTCACTGTCTGTTTCGGTCTGTCAAAGTCTTATTTTTAGCTTTGCAAAAGCAGAATATGCTTATTAGCTATGAAAATCACCATTATTATTGAGTATCCTGCGGGAAATATTATCTTATTAAGGTGGTTCCGAAACTCTGGCCCCTTGCGTGTACAAGTGGAGTTTTAGAAATGCAGCAACGCTGGAGGACAGCTGGGTATCTTATGGTGAGAAGAGTGCTGGCCTCAGGAAGCCAGTCAAGAACATAAAGCTCCTGACAGGAAAAAAAGGGAATCTGATGGGCTTTTAGCATAGTGGAGTTAGCACCCTAAAGTTCGAGGTGTAGATAGTGGGGGAGCACTAAGAAAGGGGAGTTGGTTTTTTTTTTTTGTTTTGTTTTTGTTTGTTTTTAATCTGACAGGAGAGAGAGAGGCTGATCATGAAGTTGATTTTCTCAGGGTTAGGCTCATCCATTGACTCTAGAGTGTGCTGACCCCTAAGATTTAGCCAAATGCAGGAAACTCAACTGCATAACTGGGGTAGTAGAGGTTACATTGCACCTTCTCTTGGCTATTGTGATGTTTGTGGCTCAGTAGGCAATCCGTGCCCAAGCGTTCACAAGATCCTGGGCTCAGTCTCCAACACTATCAACAGGGGTAGGGTGTGGGGGTGGGAGGCGGGTGGGGAACACACATCCTTTGATGAATAAAATACTGTTGCAGGAGCAGGGAGTTGGCTTGGATGGTGACATGACCCAAAGGCCCAGAACTCTTGAGAGTCATTGTCTTAACTCCTGGAGAACCCAGGAAAGTAGAGAGGGGCCAGAAGAATCCAAAACATGTGCTGACATTGCTAAAGATGGTTTCTGAGCTCCAAGCTGCCTATGGAAATTTCCAGTATCATTCGGCATACAAACTGTATCTAGACATCTCCACTACCACCTCTATGTGCGTCTATGTGGGGGCAGACCCCATAAATATTGCACCTGACTGTGTAGCTTACTATAGCCCAAAGAACGGGGTGAAAGTTACACTGGGCAAGTTTAGAACTGACAAGCAGAGAAGCTTTGAGTATTTCCATCAGTAAAAGCTGGTCGTAGGATGAAAAACAAGTGGGGCAGCTCTGGGCTCACAGAGCTTCACACAGGTCTGCTGAACTATGGTTAATTGATAGACACATGAGGGAGTAATCCAAGCTTAAACTCCACCTCTCAACTCTCTGCTTCGTTACGTAGCATCAGAGGCTGATTGGCACACAGTACTTTCTTCGTTTCCTAACATCTGTGTGTGATTCCCATTCATCCCTCAGTAGCTGGTTGGTACACAGTGTTTATTTCCTACCATCTATATGTAATTCCTTTTTCCCCCCTCTGATTCCTATCAAAACCTTTCTTTTTAAACATCTTGGATCAAACCTGTAACTCTTGGAGTGAATTTCAACTGTAGATCTTCTCCTTCCAAACATTCTTCAAGCCTCTAGTCTCTGCAGAAAAGACTTTACTATTAGACTCTTAGGAATCTTGGGGCGAATGAGACTGGACATATACAGTTTTTCCCTAGGTCTCTTGAGTTCACATTCCTCACAACCTAGGGTAAGGCAAACTCCAGGACACAGATGATTTTTTTTTCCCAAGAAGGCTCAAAATCCTGCAAGGGGAGCTTAGTAAAGGCCATGCATCTTTTTTCACCCTCTTGCTTGCTGGGAGAAGATAGGGGCATGGTGGTAAACCCAGCTGGTGGATAAGGACTCTTCTCCCCATCCCTGCTCCAGCTCTGGCCAGCTCCCCAGTCCAAATGGCAGAATGCATTCAGGGAGGAGATTAATGTTCGCAGAAGACTCCAGAGAACCTCTCAGGGCCCTTCTGTTTATTAAATCAAGAAAACCATGTTTAAATATAATGTCAAGGGTATGACACAGACCAACAGGATCCAAAGCAGACTGTCAGCCTTAACCTTGAATAACTAGGTGTTCTTCAAGCTTTGACTTGCAGGCTTAAAGCCTCTGACATTTTTTTTTTCCCCAGAAAGGCCCAGAATCCTAGAGAAGAGGTCAGCACTGTCCAACAGAGCCATCCATTTCTGTCCATCAACCATTACTAATGACAAAGGCAGAGGTCATGGCTTTTGTGGCAAGGTCAGCACTGTGCACCAGGCAAGGTCCCTGCCTGGGTTAGATAGGCTCAGTGTGTTTACCCATAGCCCCTAGAATTTTTACGTGCCTCCACTCAAGCCTGTTGTTAAGTAGTAAAAGGCTATCGTACATGGATACTTGACAATGTCCTCTGTCTCCTGGCTCAGAGAACATATTGATGTGCTAGTGGGCAGTCTGTTGACAAGCTAGAAAGAACATAGAACAGGGTGAGATGGTTCCTTTCGATCTGTACCTAGTGAGGTGAGGGTGGCAAGGAGATGTAGGCAGATGTTTCATGCAGCTAACAGTCTGACAGACATGCTACATGCTACTGTAGGGACTCTTATCTTTTACAGCCGAGGACACTGATACACAGGTTAGGTAACCTTATCTAAACCACACAGCAATAACACAGGAGGAACTGGAAGACCAGCCTACATCCTGTGGCTTCCAGCCATATTCTTCTCTTCTAGGCTCCATACTACCTCAAGGAGCCAGGGAGATTGGAGTAGAAGCAGGCAGCAGTAAAGGGGCAGCCATGTAAAGGTCCAGGGGAGAATGTTCTAGAAACACGAAGATCATGTCAATCCTTAGGCAAGAGATGAGGTGTCGTGGGTCAGAGGCTAGCATTGGGAGCAGCAGGAAGTGACAGATGAAGGAATGGTTTTCATTTTTGTCTTTTCCTGTTTAACTAATTACCCCATAGGACTCGGGATCACCTTTTACTCGCGTTAGTGCTAACGTATAGTACACAGTTTGTGAATTTGCCTTTTTTTAAGATTTTAATTCTTTTGTCTTTGGCAATTTCATATGTGCATCCACACATGTATATGATGCACTGTGGTCATATTCATACATGTATTTACACATGTGACGCTCTGTGGTCACGCTCACCCCGTCTTACTCTTTCTCGCCCCCTCCCACCCTACTAACTCACTTCCGCCCAACAACCCTCCCTCTTACCTTCATCCCCCCCCCAGCCGTGTGCCGTGTATGTGTCTGTGTGTGTGTGTGTGTGTGTGTGTGTGTGTGTATCTGTGTATGTAGATCTCATGCAGATAGCCACAGCTGCTGTGTGTCCATGACTGCAACCATCATGGCATATCCAGAAGGGACCATTCGGCTCCCTTCCCACCTTCCAGCTTCCAGCTCTCAGACTCTTTTTTCACCCTTCCTTCTGCGATGGTTCCTAGACCTTGGATGACCTGGTGAAATCAATGTCCTATTTAGGGACAGGATGATCACACAGCAATCACCTTTTCTCAGGACTTTGTCCAGCCATGAGTCTCTGCATTAATCTCAGCCCTCTGCAAGGAGAAGCTATTCTGACCAAGGCTGAAGCAGCGCCGAGTCTGTGGGTGTGAACATAAAAACTTAGAAGACAACTCAATATCATGTCTATTTATCAAAGCCAATAATAGAATTCCTCCCCACTGGCAGGGCAGCCTGGGAGTTCCCGAGCTACGATTCTTACCAGATTTACAGTAGCTGGTATTTATTCCTTCCTGGAGCAGATTAATAGTATCCAGCTTCAAATCCAGGTAAGAAGTGGTTGGTTAACCCCTAGGCAGTCACACCACGGTTGCACCAGTGTTCTAACTTGACTGGCAGACCCATAATGTAGTATCAGGGTCTATAGCTGGAGATGACAGTTGATTGGCAGGTCCATAATATAGTATAGGGTCTATAGCTGGGGATGACAGTTGATTGGCGGGTCCATAACATAGTATAGGGTCTATAGCTGGAGATGACAGTTGATTGGCAGGTCCATAATATAGTATCAGGGTCTTCAGCTGGAGATGACAGTTGATTGGCGGGTCCATAATATAGTGTCAGGGTCTTCAGCTGGAGATGACAGTTGATTGGCAGGTCCATAATATAGTATAGGGTCTATAGCTGGAGATGACAGTTGATTGGCGGGTCCATAATATAGTATCAGGGTCTTCAGCTGGATATGACAGTTGATTGGCAGGTCCATAATATAGTATAGGGTCTATAGCTGGAGATGACAGTTGATTGTCAGGTCCATAATATAGTATCAGGGTCTTCAGCTGGGAATTGACTGTCCATGACTTTTCTCACACAGCAGCTTCTGTAGCACCTCTGGCATGATGAACGCTAACCATCAGGAAGGAAGCTACCAGCTCTGTGCCAGCTTGATTTCTCTGTGTTCTGTATCCAAAGTATATCATGTCTTTAGTAATCAGCCTTACTTTCTAGTTCTGGTATGTATCCAAGAGCAATGGTGATAGCCTGTATTGTTTGGGGAGTGTCTGGGGTTCCCTGGCCAACAACTTATAATGAAGTATCCCATACCTGGCACTGGGATTTTCATTTAAAAACTCGTGGCTTCTGGGAGCAGCCTTTTATTCTCTTGGGGATAATTAGTTAGATAACTAATTAATGAACATTGTGCCAATCTGATCCTGGCTTGAATCCCAAATCCTTTGCTTGTTAATTGTTCAACCCAGGGGAAGTCACTTGGCTTCTCTGATCCTGGCTTTTATTTTATGTACAGTGGGGATAAAAGGCAATTTCACAAAGTTGGCTGTAGAGAGGTATAAGTGGAACAACTTGTGATAAGAGTCAAGGGCGAGGCTGCCACAGCTCAGATCTGTGGAAATCTCTTTTTTTTTCTCCACTGCAAGTAAAGCCTTCGTCAGTGCAATGACAGACCCCACTATAGAATTAAGAGTTGAGAAGGACAGTATGCCTTGCTACTCAAAATGCTGTCTAGTGACCAGCTCCACGGGATCTTGAAGGAGGTGGGAGCTAGAATGGAACACAGTTCTACCCACAGACACACCGGAACAGGATTTGTAAAGAAAATCCCTGGATCTGTATGCTGAGTGAACCCCTCTCCTATCTCCATGCCATTCTTATCACCAAAAAGGAAGCTTAAGGTTTGGCACAGTGTCACACATCTATAATTCCAGCATTCAGGAGGCTGAAGCAACAGGCTAGCCTGGGCTATATAGTAGTGAGCTCATCTCAAACAAGACAAAACAAAGAAAGCCGAGCAGAATTGAGCCTGTTCTAACTCAGGGTCCCTTGTCCCAAGCCTTGTCCTTTGCACTTGAACCTCAGTCCTCTGTGCTTCATACACTACTCCCCATCCAGCGGCCATGCCTCAGATACCCTGCACTTGTAGTTGGAGTCCTGAGAACTTGACAGCCTCTCATCAGATGTCCCCACAGACCAGGCATCAGACTCCAGAAAGGCCCAACAGCATCATGCATAGGGACAGCAAGTGCCCTGCCCATCACTGACCAGTGCCTCTGATTCCTGGGAGCGTGCTTTCTCCTATTAGTTATCCCCCTGGCCTGGTTGCTATTCCTGAAAAACCTACAAAGCAGGAATCTGACTGTGACCAGAGGCTCCTTTCTGTGCCACTGCCCTAGCTTCATTTCAGTTGTCATGATGAAACACCTTGATC